CCAAAGCATGGCACAGAACACTATACCATCCCAGGAATCTAACTTCCAATTCACACTTGGGAAAAAATAACAGCTTAACAATTGATAATTATTTGCTATTTCCGAAAGTTGTTACCTGTTCTGTAAGTTAAAGTCTGTAAGACCCTATCCCTCAACCACAAGAGCAAAGAAGGATAATATTGATAGAATCCTTAGAGAGATCAAGGTAGTCATAGTTGTTCTAGTCTTCTCTTTTCAACCCTGGGCCACCCTTTGAGAGAACCATTACCAGAGTAAATGCCTGGCTGGCTCTAAAACCACCTGCCTCCACTCTCTTTTAAGATATCCAGTACCTGATCTGTTTGAGAGACCAAAACATACAAACAAACAAAAAACCACTACCATTCCACTCATCATAGAAAATCCAATCCCAGTTGCACCCCTCTCATCAGCATTTAAGGTACCTTATGATGTCTTCTATACCAGTTCTTTCTTTAAAAGTATATGCTCTAGACATCCCTGGGTCCACCCAAGGATAACAAAAACAAATAAGAAAATATTTCAGGTATGCTATTCTCCTTTCATTAAAAGAAGAGAGTCCTAAATAAAATCCTTAAAACAACAGCAGATAAGAGTTTGGAATTCATTTCTCACACACCGAGAGAGAGAGAGAGGATGTACAGCATTGGAGAAGTGTCACAGATTCTTAATAGATTCTGAATAAGTACAGTTGAAAAGATAAGCACCAAAATAGATGTTGGCTGTTTGTCTCAAATGTCAATTACAGAGAAACAGAGTTTACCTTGAAGCACATCCCATGATTTTTGAATGCATACCACCTACTTCTCCTGACATTTACTGGGAATCATGTGTTTCATACCTAACCCTACAATGGTACTCTTGCGACTTATTTGAGCTGGCCTTTGCCTTTCTTCCCCTACCTGGATTTAAACTAACATGATGTCTGCAAACTCTTGTAAAGTAAACAGCTCTTAATCCTGCACACAGTAACGGCACACTAGTTAGCTAGCCTTCAGTGTACTCTAAGAATATAACCCAACTACACCAAGGAATACATTCTAGGTACACTGCACATAGAAGCTACTGTGCCTCTTTTAGAGAAAATGTAACAGCTCTGCTCCAGTTCCAATGGAAAAGAGATGTAGCTCAGTTCTGCTTTGCTAAATCTTATTTGGCAATGTGTCTAAACACATGCAAACTTAATTAGTTCAGGGGGGAGCCTCAGCATTTGTAGTGATGGATAAAAGTAAACAGGGAAATGAGACGAGTCAGGGCTGGCAGCAAGTGCTCTCTCACTCAAGCTCAAGCCATGTTCTCTGACACACAGCTAATCAGATGTGATGCCACTAAGGCTGCCACAGCCAATCTCCGCTGCAAAACAGTGACGGGTTGTTCACTAACACGGAGCTGCTGAAATCCTTACCTCTGTGAAGCTGAAATCACAAGATCATGTATTTTCCACTTGGTACCAGCAGTGCCCAAAGATTAGCCTAAGTATCAGCTTCCAAAGTTCTTGTGTTAAATAAAAAGAGAATGCAGAGTTGGGTGAAGAGAAAAGCTATTTGTGACGCCTTCTGAGGCTAGAACTAAGTCTTTTCTCTCACCTGGATGAAAATGCATGCAAAAGGTGTGATTTTAACAGACTCAAAAATGCTCTGCAGTGTCTCCTGCTGGCCAACAAATCTTAAATTCTTTTTGTAGTGGGGGAAGTCCCTTTCATACACTTTTCACTCACTGAACCATAGACCTCTAAGAATCTCTTTCTCAAGCCCTGTTTGGCAGGATTTCCTACACAAAAACACCACAGACAGATGCTATAAGGCTCCCACTGAACACAATTACACAGCTCCTCAACTATTTTAGAAAACAGTTTTGTTTTTGGTATCCAACCTAAAACAGCCCAGCTACCATATTAGACTATTGGTTCTTATTCTATATTTAATGATGTTTGACTCTCTTCTTCTTGGACCCTCAAAGCTAGTTTTGTTCAGCTTTTGTGCATTTATGCATTCTACATTCTTTATTATTTTGATGCTCCCTTTCAAATCATCTTCTGTTTATTTGTATCTTCCTTAAAATGCAATGGTCAAAACTGGACAAGCTACCCCAACTATTATTATTGGATTCCATCTTGGACAGAATTTAACAAATTTCAAAGGAATCACTACCAAGGAGTTAGGAATTTGAAAACTAGAGCATGAGACTCCAAAGATCAGACTAAATGACTAAAAAATATACAGCTGTACATAATTTATTTATCTTGGTTACCCAGGCAACTTTGAACTTGTATGAGTACAATTTGAGACTTCTACTGAGAAGCCTGTAATGATGAAGATATGGTACAATGGTGAAAAGCATGGGACTGGGACTCAGTGATCTGGGTTCTACTTCCCATTCAGCCATGGAGTCAACTGGGTGACTTTTGGCCAGTCACTGACACTCAGCCCAACCTACCTCACTGGGTTGTTGTTGTGGGAATAAGACTGAGAGCAGGAGGAGGAGAATGATGTAAGCTACTCTGAATTCCTTTAAAAAGAAAAAGGCAAGAAATAAATCTAATAAATAAATAAATAAATCAGGCACAAATGGTAACAATTAAGTGCAAAATGTTCTTCATATGGTGCAGGAAAATTGAGCATTTACCATTCAAAGTCCTAACATAACGCCAAAAATACAACCTAAGCATACCCAAAAGGTCATGTGAGAAGTTCATTTTCTAGACTGGATGTTATAATAATAATAATAATAATAATAATGTAGGTAAGTGTGGATTTCACGAATTCCCTCCCCATCCCCAAATGAGTGCCATTGAATGGTGAATGCATGCAATCAAGGGAAGAAAAAAAAAGATGCATTTTTACTAAAATGAGTCTGGGAGCATGTGCTTTTTAAAAAAATGAAAATACAGCATTTTCCTCACTGACCCAATGATTTTGGGGCGGGGGCGGGGGGGAGTCTCTGGACCTTCCAAAGTTGCCTATCCCTATTCCAGAGGTCTGACCTGCCCTGGTCTTCGTATCTAAGGCCAGATGATAAGTGTCACAGCAAGAAAAAAAGCATAGTCAAACATCCTTAAAACTCATCCTCATAATTATACATTCTCAGCCCAGCAACAAAGAATAGAGGTGTTGTGGCACTCACAGGCATTCTCCAAGCTATCCCATGCCAAAGTTTGAAAGAAATAGTTGAGCTCTGCTGAACACTATAGGAAGAAAACCAATCTATGTTGGCTTTTGCACATGGCAATCTCTTGGTATGGCTCTTATAGGTGTTTCTGTTAACATAAACAGTGAAAAGCAGTTCTTTTGTCTGAAAGAACAGCACCATGTCCTTCCACATTTCATGCCAGTTCACTCCCCATTTTTTCAGTTTTTTGCTAACCAAGCCAACCTGTAAATGCCCAAAGATAATTTCCACATGCATCTTACAACTGGGAGAAACCCATTCCTGATTTGAAAGCCAAATAGCTGTGATGTTAGAATTGTATAAGTCAACCCCATCACCGTTTTCATGTGATAAGCTTTTTTCATCAGCACTCTGCTAGTTAAAGGCAAAGTCCAGGTCAGAGGCATCCTAACATTTCTGTTTGTGCTCATGAAATCTAAGCAGAGGTGACTTTTTGTGAACATACAAAAATTGTAGAATGTAAGTAGTTACATTACAGTTGTCTATTCAAGAAAGGCAATGAAGGAAAATGCCTCAAGCATAAAATAGCCTCAACACCAATATTACATGACCAATAAAATGGCAACTGTGGTTCAGTGTAAGAGGACAAAAATTCCTGACTTCACAAGCTACTACAGCAAGTTGGCTCTCAAAAATTATCAGTCAATATATGACCACTAGGAGCAGAGACACTATGCCTCTTAATACCAGCCAGTGGGGAATAACAATGGTTCACAGTAAATGCCTCCATGTTATTTTGCTTTGAGGTTTCACCCACAGGTATCTGTGGTTGGCCACTGTGAGAAGCAGGATGCTGCACTAGAAAAGATGCACTAGATGCTGCACTTTGGCCTGTTCTAGCAGAATTCTTCCAATATCCTTAATGTACATAATCCTTCCAAATAAGTATACCAATCATTTGTGTCGCTCAATAATCTAATATTATATAGCAGACCAAGACACACAATTTCAAAACCGCTGGGCATTCAGAAATTAGCCCCATCATCAGTTCCTTCAGTATTGACTTTTGTTGCCATTAGCTGATGTGTTCTAGCTGATCTTCCTATAAGAAATGCCTAGCAAAAGGACAGAGCTCTCAGGTCTCAGACCATGCAGAGTTTCCTAAATTAAAGATATGCAAGCTTCAGGGAGATTGCTTTTATTTAAGATTAACACAGAGATGTCAGCACCTCAGCGAAAGTAAGCTCCCATTTAACAGAGGAGAAGAGTGTTATTCAGAAACACTACCAACCCTTCCAATCCTTCTCAAGCATGAAATGAAACATTCCTTGAACTTCAAGCTAAACAGTCACCATTCTTGAAGGGAAGGGTCTCCCTGACAGAATATATTGTGGTTCAAGCCCAGAAAAAAGTCTGTCATCTTGTGGTCTATCTGTTCACAACACAGGAGCAAATGCTTAAATCTAGAAATGCATCAAAGCCCACAATTTAAATACCGGGGATGCACAAGAATATTCCATTTTATAGATCTTACCAAACTAAAGGAGGGTACCAACCTTCCTTCCCGATACAGCATAATCCATACTCGTTACTGAGATAGAACAGTGCTGGTAAATGGGTAAAGAAAGAATGACATGCCAAGAGTCAGGGCTATCATAAGTGGCTAGGCATGTATCAGTAATAGACGGTTGAAGACACTATTCTAAAAACATTGAGGTAATTGCAGAGTTAAGACAGAAGGGAGTTGGTAGCACAAAGCAACCTATGCATTCCTGCCATAAGGGACATGAGGATATCCTAGTGTAAAATGAAGTTTTTTTCTGGGAGCAAGACTCATTACACCATGAACACATAATCCTCGACCATATACTCACATTACTTTCAGGTCCCAGTCCCCACAGGTTACAAAAATCGACTTGACACTGGGATCCAAGAGGCCTTCCTTTGCCATCCACTCCTCAACCCTCTGAAAGAAACAGACAGAAACCTGAGTTTCCAAGACATGGAAAAGAAATGCAGTGGTTAAATGCCGATAAGCCTCACAATCACACAAGGAGAAAATTGTGATCTTATCCGACATGGCTGCCCCCCTATTCCCCTCTCATTCTCTTTGCTTCCTCATTTCTATGAAAGTATGCTTGGACCTTTGAAGATTTCCCATACGAAACATCAAGCAGCCAGAAAAAGGGGTGATTTTTATCAGGCGTCACAACAGTTTTGCTTACAAAAAAGCCATCACACATTAATATTGCCAGCCTTCTTCTGTGTGCCTTGACCTCTTTCTATCCCCAAAAAGATAGTCTGGTAAACTAGCAGTTACAATAGGTCCCATTTCAACATACTCTCTGTCCCTTTCTTCATTTTCCATCCAGGCAGGTTTTTCATTAGTTTTAGATGTTTCACCATTCTTGCAATCCTCATTCAAAGAGGATTCCCATTCCCATTTTGTTCCTATGAAACCAAGATCAGCTCCCAACTCTGAGAGATCTGTGTTCAAATCTCTCCAGCCATGGACAACACTCTCTGTGTGTTATCCCACATTGGCATGCAGCTTTTTTGTTTTCAGTTCCTGGAGATTAGCTCACAAGACAGCACACACAAAATGAAGAAACAAACCAGCACTACAAACAGAATACTATGTTCTATTCTCTGAGCAAATTCTACCTTGGATATTGTATTCTGCAATGAGAAATAGCATTATTTGCCTGTATATACATATAGCATGTGAAATGTATTTCCACAAAATTCTTCCACAAGGAAGTTGTCAATACAAAACATACTTGACCGTAACACATTAAAAAAATCCAAAGTAATATAGTCAGGTATGCCCAAATTTAGCTCCTAGAATTAATTGCTATTATGGTCTAGATCCAAAAAACACAACAAATTTTGCACACTCCTACGGACATTTGGTTCTCAACCATTACTGCTTTATGCCACCTGACAAAACTCTTAAAATCAAGAGAAATTTCAAAAGCAGCTTGTGATACAGCATGAGGGGGCTGCTCAAAGAAAAGTGGTCAAAAAGTATTTGGACTTGCCTAAAATGACTTTTTGTTCCAAACATATTTATACTGCACCACGTGTACAAAGCTGCTCAGTACAAAAGATTATTCTTGGTTATATATGGGTATTTAAAAACACATGTGGGTATTTATAAACCACCTGCATCTACAGATTTTAAGGCAATGTGTACAGATCATAAAAGCATAAATATATAAAACCAGCACATAGAATCAATAAACTATATCTACATATGCATAGGAATAAAATACATGGCAGGCAAAGCTACCAGGAAGGCATACAAAGGCAGATGTGTCTTCATCATGTGGCTAAAAAGAAAAATTGTTGGTGCATGTCTAATCTCAAGAAGAAGGCCATTCCACACAATAGAATGTGCCCAGCAGGCTTCTGATGGATCCAAATCCCAATTTATCAGAGGAGATTTTTAGTAAACCATGGATCACCGGAGAATGCAATGGGGAAAAAAACATTTTCTACTGTCCCCACTGCCAAACAAACAATGAAGTGACCTAGCATATGTTTAGGTAGCCTCACAGTAAATCTTGCATCATTTGTGGTCTAGCCATCATCCACCTTGTTTCATAGCTACCTGAAATACCAGGAAGCAGAATGGGCACCACAAATCCCACAGAGAGCACTTAGAAATGATCGTGTCAATAGTCCTTTACACCTCTCTGTTCCATAGTGAGACCGGATTCTTGAGAGGAGTACCAGCTCTATCCACTGGAAACTCCGTCACAGCATACAGAAGTCCATCTAATTCAACTAGTTTCTGGAGGTTCATCCTGACATACTGTATACAAATGATGGTGTGATCATGACAATGAGGCTGTGCATATACCTTTTTTCAGACCACCCCTGCTACAAGTTGAGACAAAGACTAAGTTAAGGATATGTCCTTCTCTGTGAGTTAGGTGGGTGTTAGTTTGAGACAGCCCCATGGCTGATGCGCAGGTTATAAAATCCAGAGCCAATACACTAGTGGAGGTCTCAGCATTCCTCGCATATCAAGGCAGTAAGACTGCTGGGAAGCAGAATGATTAGTACACCAGCAACATTCCTAGTCTTCCCCACCCAAGTCTCAGCAATTCATGTCAGGCAGGCTTCCTCTTACATGAAGGAAAACATTGTGTTAATTATAATCAAATTTTTATATCACTTTTTAAAATGAATACAAATGTGACAGCCTAGGAAAAGCGACCAAAGCAAGTATCAGTATGGGAACAGAAGTAGAGGATGTGTTCTAAGGATAGAAAGGAAAAAGGAGCTATGCAGAGCACTCAAATTCCTTACTCTGTTCCTTTTCTCTGTAATGAAAGATGAGGAACAGTTGCTATAAAGGGCAGACAATTAAACTGAATTGATGCAAAATTATATGTAAAAGCCAATACTTAAAACTTGCTTTATTTCCAAAAGACTTATATCAAAGGGTAGTAGCTCAGTGAGAGAACACATCCTCTATAGGCAAGAAGTTCCAGGTTCAACCCTGGAACTTCTAGATAGGGCTGTCAAAACCTCCTGCCTGAAATCCTGAAGAAGCACCACCTGTCAGTATCAACTGGGGTCCCAAGTGTGCGTGTGTGTGTGTAATATATAAAAATATATTTCAAGGGCTAAATTAAATTTCACAGAAGCTCCTGTAGGCTGTATTCCAGTAATGTATGAGGCCAAAGGCAAAAAGGCTGGAGTCAAAATATCAGCAATTTTAATTTTAAACCTCATACTACTGTTTTTATTAATTGTGGTATTTTTACTGTATTATATTCTTTGTATATGGTTTTTATTGTTGTAATCTGTCCAGGGAGTTGTGTGGCTAATGGGACAGACTAGAAATCTAATAAATAAATAAACTAAAAGAAAGGCATTTCAATCTTTAACAATGGGGGAAATGTGCAAAAGGCTGAAAAACCATCAGGTAATCAGCACTCAGAGGAAAAGGAGATGTGGTCAGGCAAAGGGGGGCTGGGCATTTCAGTAATCCCAGAGAGCCAGACTGGGAACCCAGGAGGACCAGTGTACTATAGAAAAGACAATACCAAACTAGATGGATTAGTATAATGAATGTAGCACATATTAATTTTGCATTGAACATAATATCCACATTTCTTTGGCTTGTATAAACTATATTAGAGTATGCAGGCTAATTAAAGGAACCAGAGGCATGACTGTCTACATTCCTGGCTCTTATCACAGGAAGAAGATCTGATGACTAGCATATAAACTAGAAAGTTAACTCTACTAACTGTCACAGATAGGATTTTTTCAGCAGAGAGGAGAAGATGGGTCTTCTCATCAGTTACTTGAAGCAGCTCCTGCTACAGCAGATAGGGTGGCTCATTACTGAATGTCTTTCTGGGAAACCCACTGTCCCCTTTCCCCTCACCCAGAGATTCCACAGTATTCCTAAAGGCAAGAAAGTGCAACTTTAACCTTTAATCAGCTTTACTCACACAAGCTTTGGTTGCAATTATGTTGATTAAGAACTATTAGGCACAAATCCTGATGGGAGCAACACATCGAACTACAGTCGGAATACGATCTACCTCCTGGAGGATTCCATCCATAGATGCCAAACAACAAAAGCTATTGATTGCAAAAGTACTTTCAGCTAATTAAGCTTTAAATGCTGCAGAAATTCAACATTAAACAGATGGCACTATTAAGACTATCTCCCGTATTCAGTAGTATCACAGATAAGATTTCAGAGGCACTATTTCTTCTGCCATGGTTTATTACTGAGCATTAAAGCTGATGTATACATTAATCTATCATCTTTCATGTAGTAGTCTTAACACAACATTGCTGACCCCTGAAGACCATTTCCAGCAAAAGAGTTCCCCCTACACACAGCTCCCCTCATGACTTTTGGCAGAAGCCTGTACATGCTGTCAGTACCTTTGACATGAACAGCTGGAAATGACAGATCAATGGTTCAATATTCTCAACAGCATGCCGCTGATGTGACAGCAAATGTTATTCTAATGAAGCTGTAATCATAGTTAAATTACGTGGTTCAATACACAGGAAGAGGAAGGGGGGAAGGGAAAGGAGGTGTCAAAGGTCAGGAACTAAAGGTTATTCTGCTTACCACAAGCACTTGCTGGAGACTGGGCTGTCCATCCACCATGGCTTGAATTATGCCAGTCAGCTGAAACAAAGGCAGAAAATAAAGATTAATGAAAACATTAAAAGACCGTTGGAAGGAGTGTATTGCCTGTTTTTGCTCCTCTCATTGTGTTTCCAGAATATTCTCAGGATTCCCACAAATATCTCCAAATCACAGGCACTCACAGAAATCTAGATGAGGGACTACAAAAACCAAGGAAAAATACTGTAGACCTGCGGTCCCCCGACTTATCCACAGACACCTCTCTTGGCATGCACCAGGTTCTTGACATGCACCAGGCTAATTTTTATTTTGTCTGTTAAGATTTTTAAAAAATGTTTTTAAAAATTAAACATGGAGGGTGGCTTGCTGCAAAGTGAAGTGCTGTCCTCCAGTACCATCTTTATTTGCATTCAAAAGAGGTGTTTTATGGTTTGGAGCTCAGACGCAACCTCTGCCTTGTACTTACATTCTTAGGAAAATTACTTTTCTTTTAGACACACTGGTTGGCTTCTGGAAAATGAGTGCTCTGTGACCAGCCGTGCTGACAGTGACAGTCATTTTATGAATGGCGAGGCACTCCTATAGCAGCCATTTCTGTCATGCTCTCAACATGCTAAATGTGCTCACTGACCTAAAACAGTTGGAAACTCCTGCTGGAGAGCTTCACACACAAGTAAGTGGGAAAAATTTAGAACAAGAGACTACTGAGGATCCTAAACACATGGGCCCTGCTATCATACCTGGAATATAAATGGTCACTTTATTTGGCTGGCAGAGACATTTCTTCTTGTCAAATCTTTGCGGGTTGAAGTTTCTTTTGTAAATTGGGGTTTGGCTCACCTTAGGCCATCTAAGTTGGCATTGTTGTCTGTTTTCTCAAACTTCCAATTTTCTTGTTACACAGAATAACCTAGGTAATATGAGCCAATCTGTTAGTAGTATTGGGTAGGGAGGTTCTTCCTCAATGCTCATTTCTACATCTTATACTTCTACAATTATATGAACCTGCTTGTAATCTGTGCCCAAGATTCCTCCCACGCCAACAGAAGGTGCAAGTTAGTGAAAAAAAAGGGGGGGGGCTTTTCATCTGTGGCCATCTACAAATTAATGCACCACCCCAGTCTCAAAGTGATTTTGAGCAAGCCAGTCTCCTTACTTGCTGTCTCGTAGTTCCCTCATCATATAATGGGGCACGGATGCCACAACCTTGCTGTAAACCATAGCAGAATTATCCTGGTGTGCAAATAAAAGGGCCTTAAGACTGAAAGTGCCAGACAAATGCCAGCTCCATGGTGGCAAATACTTCACTTAGGAAAGCAAGATCACTTTTCAAGCCCTGCAGCTGAAGCCCTAGTATAATGGAATCAGTAAAATGCCTCCAGTTTTAGCAGCTACTTCTTTCAGTGCATTCCCTCTGCACCCCTCATTTACATTATACAACTCAAGGTGACTTCAGGCACTCCCATACACTGATAATTAACACAAGAAAAAGGGGCCATAAACAGATAAATAGCCTTTCTGGAAAAGTGTAGTGCATGAGCACCACAGTTTTCCAAGGAACAGAGGACAAGTATCAAAGCATTATCAAATTAGAGTGTAAAGCTAGGTCTACATTTTTATAAACATTTGAAAGCCATCTCTGCATTTTAAAAGTGATTTATTTTCTATTATGACTTCCACAGAGACAATTGAAATCACTGTACATACTCTGCTACTACTTACATGGTATATTATTTCAAAGAGACTGTCTATGTATCTACTATTGGACCAGGCACAAAATGTTATAAGGTAATACAGAAACCTAAGTGTATAATGACACCCCGGAGTGTAGAAAGATGGGAGGGGGGAAACTACACAGTCATATTGCTTGTTAAGGACACTTGGCAGATGACAATTATACAGAAGCTGGTTCTTTCCAGTCCTCTGTTCTCGGAAGCAGGAAACCCTGATCCTTAAGCACCTTAAGGAGATAATTACAAATGTTCCACAAATAGAAGCTTCACTACTTTTTCCTGCCATTTTGTGACACTTTCTGATAAGATGTTATAATGCAAAATACTTATACAGATGTTTGCTGAATAGGTTTAATAAAAGGGAGACTTCTTAAATAAAAGATTTAAGAATTAAGTGTATAAGACTTTTGTTCCAGTCTTACTTATGCATGTCTCCCCTATCCCCATTCTCTACTTTTATTTTATTAAAGGAGGGCACAAAGGAATGGTTAAAATCAGTCAGGAGAATCCTAACTTACTGAGATCAAGCAGTGTGATTCTGCACACTGCTCAATTATTCTAGCTTGGTTAGTCTTGAAAATAAGAACAACTAAACAAACTGCAGATCCTTCCATCATTTATCATGATGCACAAACCAGGGACTCTCCCCGAAGTAGTCAGATTCATAAGCTGACACCAAACCATAACTTATGATTGAGGCTTGTATGGGAGAGATAAACCAGAAACCCTGATTGCACATCACCATAAACATACTGCAGAGTTTACTTACAGGAGGAGCCAACTGGGAGTAATCATGAAGTATGCACCACCACACTTGTTCAAATCCAGTGACGTGATGTTCAAATCAGAGTTGTTAACCTATCTAGACCAACACATAGGAATAAACTGGCCAGTCTTTCAGTTTACTGACTCTATGGAGACAGCAGTCTTTAGTCTCAAGTTTCATTGGATAGCACAAAGAGGATAAGAAATCCCACTAATTTGAAAAGGCGTAACTGGATTCCCTAAGAAATGAAGGTCCAACTGATGCTATTGCAAGAGCTCTCAAAAGCATTTCCATCAGATCAGATTTCCCTAAATCCCATCCCATCCCATCCCATAGAGAGGAACACATTTAGAAGTATCCATAAGCTTCTTCACAAACAGATGTCATATACTAGAGTTTGCCTGTTTCCAGATCTTCCTGCTTCTTTCAGCTTCTAGGATGATTCAGATGTTTCAGAGACTACTTGCTGATATTCTCTCTAGTCAAACAAAGTAGAAATTGAAAATCTATTAAGTGTAATTTGGAATATTCCTAAAACAATTGTGCCCAAAATTAAATTTTAAAATAGTTTATTCAGATAATAAAGTAAGTAAACCAAGTTATGTATACTACTTTTTCAGTTCTTAAAGTAATAAAATCATCTTAGATTTGTAAAGAAAGCTAAAGTATTGTATATTTTCCCATTTTTCTCAACATCTATTTTTCCTGAAAACCCCCCTCCATAACGTCAAGATTTCTGAAAATTTTACAGATTGAAGCAGAAATGGCATTCTTTATATCAAAGCCAATATCTATCAAAGCCAATATCTACCTCATGCCTGATATCCGATCTGGTACCTAAATAAATAGCACCTATGTGAGGTACTCTCTTCCATCAAATAGCAGCTCAAAACATGCCTTGTCTCTGATCCTAAAGTTAGTCCTGATATCAACTGAAGGTAACCCAAAGTATGTGAAACTTCATTTGTCATCCTTCATGTTTGCCTCTCCCCCCTCTGTTGTCTTCCATACAACTACCATCTCATCCCAAACTTCCTTAATTTGATACTTCTAATCTCCTCAGGAATGAGAATTGCCATTTCCTTAAATACACTGCAAAGGATATAGGCATGTACTTCTTGGCTTCCTTCTAGACTGAATTCATTATTCATATTGATTGTTTTTAGAATTATTCTTCAAGTTTACTAACATTCATGATCTTTTGAAGCCTGCTATCACAATAGAATAGAATAGAATAGAATAGAACCCAAACCCAAACCCAAATCCACAAGGAACTGTTGGATTGGCAACAAAAATAAAGCTCTTGCGATAGCAAAAAGATTGTCTTTTTCTAGTGCTAGAGGACACAACCCACCAGCAATTCTAAAATGGATAGAGAACCTTAATGCTATTTACACGAGTCAAGCTTGCAGGATAAATCCACTCATACACAAAGCTGGGCTTCTGAATGTCATAATCAGTAATATGCATAGACTGGTCTTCCTTTCTCAAAGTAAGACTTCATTATTTGTTATTTTAAAAATCTGATCATACTTGCTTCTTTAAAAAGTCACTCTGCAAAGCTCTAGTGACTATGCTGTAACAGCAGAGAGAAAACACTGCATAATATCTGAAAGTTTGTTTCCAGGCATGCATTTCTGTTGCGGACTAGTACTATAACTGGGGTGTGAAAGAAAAAAAAGATTAAACGCCAATTAAACTAGGATTAAGTCTAACGAATACCAAATACCTGAGCAGTTGAATAAGCTGATTATAAGATTTTCTCATTGATAACACAACTTTTGTGGGAAAAGTTTTAATTTTCAGAATTCAAAGGTCCTCTAGGTCAGGGGTCTGCAACCCGCGGCTCTGGAGCCGCACATGGCTCTTGAACCCCTCTGTTGCGGCTCCGTCACTCAAAGCACACGCTGGCACAGTCACTGATCTGCTCAAAGCTCCACTCAGCACTCAGGAACACAGCACTAGCTAGTTAAGTAAATCCCTACATTCTTCTGCTAAACAAGCTTCCTGCAGACTCTCATGTTACACACTGCTGAAAAGATTCTCTTTGTCCCAGTGTAATCTCCTTCATCTGAATGTTAAAAGCTGTGCTTGGGACCTGTCACAATTCACATCACTTGACTGTATATCCGCTAATCAGTCACTAAACACACCTATATCTGCAACCCGACACTCATCGATTTACTGAGCTTTCCCCCACCCCACCCCAACCATGGATAAATCCGAAGAAAAGTTTCTGAAGAAAACCAAACATTTAATGGTACGTGGGTAGAGTCATTTGCTTTTACTGCTGACGAACTTATGGGGTTTGCTGTTTAATGCATGCAGCCCTTTAGCACTGACGTTGACTCTGCAGGAAGCTGTTCTCCTATTCAAAATATATGAAAGCAATCCTACTGGTTTATAATGTAAGATTAAAAATAACAGTTTTTAGTGACTGAACAAGAGCTGCAGCTAAATCATAATGAAGATATAGATCTACTTCTTTGTTTTAAGAAGATTCTTATAAAAATTCCAGCAACATTATTACATTGGGAGAGGGATGTTTGTTCAATATTTCACCACGTGATAAAGGGATGAGGGCACACAGAAGCAGATGGCATTTTTGGTTTGCTGCAGGTGGCATGTTTGGTTTGCTGCTAGTGGATAATTTAAGTTTGGCTTTTTATTTCATAAATACGAGGAGGACTCAGATAGACATTGAGTATTTTATTTGAAAGTAACTTTCAACACAGCGTCTTTTTTTCAGAGTTCAAAATGTTTTTGTTGCATGCAGAAATAAAAATTTGTTTTCTCTGTAGCAGTTCATTGATTTTATAAATGCAACACACTATAGTTTTTTTATACATAGCATAAAGGTAAAAAACTATATATGCAGTGTTGTCTTCATTTTAGATGTCAAAAGGGTTTTGCGGCTCCCAGTGTTTTCTTTTCTGTGGAAAATGGATCCAAATGGCTCTTTGAGTGTAAAAGGTTGCCGACCCCTGCTCTAGGTAGACTCCCAAAGTTCTTCAAGTCATTATTAAGCAGAAGTGGGTAGAGAGGGTCAAGTACTACATTTTGCATTCTGGAATCCATATCTATATTAATCTATAGCTTAATTAGGTAAAAACTGCTGCCTGGAGGCCTTACCTACATTAATCTTAAATAAAAAGGGGAAATTATTGCCAGAAACTCCTAAGATTCCATCACGCTATTTCTTCTCTCTGTCCTGCAATCAGGTCTCAGCTGAAGAGAGGAATGGTTCATGCCCAAGTTTATGCCTCTCTGATTCAAGGCTAAGAGGAAAATGTCTCAGGGATGCCGGGCAAAGAAGCAAAGTCTCCCCACCTGGCTTGGAGAGTAGTTAAGATGATCCCCTTGCCTATTAGCTCCCCTGGTTGACAAATGTTTCTAGCCTCCTGAATGACAGCCAGTAAAGAGAAGGACTAGAATCAGTCTGGCTCTAACCTACACCAGCACAATAGACTTCTTACTGTTCGAGCAACAAGAATTTATTTTTCAGATACCTGTGCAGACAGTTGGATGAAAGAGTATAGTTAGTCTTTTTGCCACAGCAGCTTTCCCTAGTGGAAATGGCAAACACAGAAGAAAGCCGCAGAGAAGACAAGCCTCAAGGCAATGTCAACAGCATGGATTTTCCTCTGGCTTTTATCTAGTACACCATCATATTTCTAGTCCAAGACAGTTTGCAGATTACATAAGCACTTGTCTCTGGCATCCCATCAGATAATCAGACCTGGTTTTTCTGTGCAGACAAAGACCTATAAAGCTTACTATTTATAAGTATGGGTACAGATATAAAGCCTTTTACCAGCAATTAGCAAAAGCAGAGTTTTTTGAAAAGCATAAATAGAGGGGAGGGGGCTGCTTAAGGCTATTTAGATAAAATAACAACGTATAGGGAGGAAGGGAGAGGATGCACAGATGATCCAGGACTTATGTCTTTCACACCCACACTATCATTCACACCACCCAGAACAACATGGTTTCTGCAACATTTCCAGCTCTCATGGGACAAGGCTTGCATGCCATAAAAATTGTGGCAACAGAAGAAGTTGCCGCTTAAGTTCCTTCAGCTAGTCAAGATAACAAGAGCCATGCCTTGTATGTAACGAAACAAGTTTCCATTATAGGAGCTACTTTACGTTAGTTTTTCCAAGTCAGAAGTTAACATAATTGTTGGAAACCTAACACCAAAGCATTTTTGAACACAATGTAATATTCACTACACTTAATTTACAACTTCCACTATACTAGGAGGGCTTAAACTTTCATTCTAGAACCTGGAAACTGGTACAAATTTCTTCTGTGATTCAGCCAGGATTGGAGAAAGATGTAAAAGCCGACACCAAATCACAGTTTGGAATAACATGAGTGAACCTGTCTGGATTTCAGGCTTACACACTCTGTCCCCTTATTATGTATTGCCATTCCCCGCTTCTTTTCCTGGTATAAACTACATAAATATAAAAATCTGTGCTTTTCCTTTTTTTCCAAATTAGGAAATGAGGGAGAGATTTACCACATGAGAGATGAGGAAGCACACAAGCTCAGAGCTCAAACATGTTACCGTTTGGTTTTATATCTGAACCCAGCAAATGGATTTTCCAGCTTCCCAAAGATCACACTTCACACTAGCCGGTGGTTTGTTGCCCTACACAGTGTTTATCCAGCAATCACTGAAACCATGGTTTGTACTCTCAACCCTTATTTTTTCCCACCATCTTGGTCTGCTCCCTCCTCATATAACAAGTGCTTTTGTGGCACTGTAGTACTGACCAGGTTTTACCACATCAGCTGCCTGCTTTTCACTGGCCTCTTCTGTACAAGGAGTGAAAAAGATGTGTCGGCTCTCCCCTGAACTCTCCAAGCTCATTCCCCAATCCTCCGCCCAAAAGCTGAAAAATTTCATTTCAGAGAATGTTAACTCCTGTTTACCACATCAGGGGTTTTAACCACCAGAGGCTAGGTATTTGGTGTAAGTATTCTCCAGAAGCAAGAAATGCGTTTTTGAGGTAACCTTTGAAGATCTAAAGTTTCTGATCTGCAAGGGGTAGGGGTGGAGATAAATTAGTTCATGCAGTTTGATATTAAAAACTACCAACCATTCCTCTATGATGAAAGGGAAAAGAGAACTTGTTTCAGGTGAATTTCCATTTGTTAAAATCCAAATCTCTAAACTACTGCAACTATATCAACTCTAGACAACTCAACAAAGCATTCTAGCACACCTACTGAAGTAAACAGTAAGCTAACAAATTGCAACAATTGTTGTGTAAAGTTAGAAGCAATTGCCTATCAATCAGATGCCCCAGAAGAAACAATTCCCAACCATCAGATAACATTCAGCTCCATAAAAATGAAGTGCTTTACCTCTGTGCAGAATGGTGTGAGCTGTGGGTGGACCACCGGCTGCACATACATGTGGAAGGTGGATTCGATTTCCATTGTCCTGCCATTTAGCTTCAGGATAGGGAACTCAATGATCTCCTACAATAAGAAGACAAAGCATTAACCCATCTTTCCTCCACAAAAGAAAAAGAAAAATCTGCCAAGAAATTTAATGATAATCTACACTTGCATAGAATGTGCATGTATTATGTGACAAAAAGCAGCAGTCAAGATGAGAATGATGGTTTGGATCCTAAGAACCACAAACAGAATTTGTGTTCATGGAATGAGGTTTTTCTGCCCCTTCTTACTGATTAATTCTCTGTAGCCCCTGCAAATCAGTTCAAAGGAATCATCCAATGCAATGCAGGATATTGCACTGGAGAAATCAGAAGCATAGAACCCTGCACAAGCAGAATTTCCTTCTGACAAGGCTCTGTTAGATGACTCTAAGCCAAAAGTTTCTATTTTAATGACCTTCTGCTGATGGACTTCCACAACATCTAATGGTGTCTATTCACCAGCAGAACAGGCACTAAAAGAACCAATACTCTCCCACCTGCAGCTGCGTACATGTGCCCAAGAACTGCTCCAGGTGACTGGGTGAGTGTTTGGAGCATATTTGCAGAGTGGCTTGTGGAGAGAATGGGGAAATTCTGTTTCCAAATCCAAACCCTCAGTGCTCTTACAAAGATGGGTAAATATCGCTGCTCCAGGATATATTTTTGCACTGTTTATACTCTTTCAATTCTAACAATAGGTTTTGTTTTGTTTAACTTGATTTAAGTTCTCACAATCACAAAATAAGACTGCAAATACTACTGCAATATATACACTAATCAAACGGTAGATGAACACAAATTAAATTTTACTATTAAGTATGCAAATTACTATTATTGTATGTAGCATCATCTGTTATATGGAGCTATACAGAGAATTGCTTTAACAGGTCCCTATTCCAAGGAACTTACAATCATTCATATATAGATATAGATATATGGGGAGTGGAAGAGAAGGGAAATGTACACACTGCATGTAAATATGTACACAAACTGCAGCTCCTATCTGACAATTCCATCCCATTATATAGGGCACTTAACCTCTACGAGCAGATATCTAGAAGTGAAGACACAGCATGATGGACTTCATTTTTTGTGACCATTGCATAGAAACTCAAGAAAATGTGAAACTCCCACTCTACGGAAGTATATCACCCTGTACATAATGTGCATGATTATTTTCTGTAACAGATCTATACTGATACAGAGAAAGCTCAACAATCTGAAAGTCAAAAATCAAAAATTTACATGGGCTTGTTAATAAAAGTTTAAGCAAGCCCAGTTATAATGGATCTGGCAATTATTAAAATATACACATGAAATTAGGGGGGAACTACAAGAAATAAAAACGATAAAATCCTTTGTCTCTTTCCTCCCCACTCCACCCCCTCCTGAGTTTAATGTAAGAGGAGTGACAATTTGCTTGGTGTCTTTAAAGGATAATTTGTCTGTGTTATTTAATAGAGAAGCATGATGCTGGGGCTCTGGAGTGCAAATGAGCCTACTGAGTGATAGCCAAGCATTGAGCCTCTCAAATCACTTGTGAAGAGAATAAAAAAAATTGCTTTTTAATATTCAAAAACAGTTTGCAAAATTTAATCAAAGCAGAGCAAAAGCTAACATTTTTACCACTTTGACATTTTTATTAGTGCTTTCATAAATTTTTAAAGCATGAATAGAATTAGTTTAAAAGAAACAACAACAAAACTGCCTGAAAACATCTGGAAGAGGAAAAATAAGCCTAAAGAATGAAAGAATCTCTTCCGCCAAGCAATATTTGCATCTTAAGAATCCAACTGCTACAGCAGAGGGAAACGAATTAGGCTTTTGGGTCCTGATCACAACACTGTTCTCAACATACATCACTGTGATGACAAAAATGTGAGGTAATGGCATCAGCATATCCTCAGAGAAAAATAAACTGTTTTAGTATGTAGAATGCATATTTCTCCTTTTGAAGATGATAAAAAGTAGCTTTGATTGAATCTTGTAAATACACCAATCAAGAGCTTATTTGATGGGCAGCTCATTAAAATAAATTATAGTGTGGGAAACACCAAGTGCTAGAAACTCCATAGACTAGATCCTGGAAGAGCTGCCATCATGGCAACACTGTCAATAATTTGCACCCTCTATAGTGGCAGGAGCATGGCAAAGGACTGGGCAGAGGAGGAAATGTTACAATGATAAAAATAAGGAAAATGTTCAGAAAGATATTAATTAAAAAAAACACTCTATTTTAAGGCAGACCACTAACTACTATTTATTCCTGTCAGGAACAATTATATACCTTATAACCACTTTTCAGCAAACTCTCCCTATGTAGCTAAAAATTCTCTATTTCTTTATAAAACAGTTGTTTTTTCAGTTCAAAATAAAATTTGGTATAGAATATTGCCTTGACAAATCAAACAATCATTTCAGGGAAATCAAACTGAAATGGTCAAGATAAACAACTTACAAATTTTGGATGGAATGATTTTCACAAATTCTAACCATTTCTTGCCAATAAATACTGTACTCTGAAGATATACTGGTTAAGCCTAATTCTCCTATTGCTGAGCCAATTTTAAATATGGTTCACAAATTGCTGCTGTGCCTGGTAGCGCTCCTATGGTTGTTGGTTATCATCCTGCTTGTTTTAAAGTACTGTATGAGCATTTTAGTTCCCTTTGAAACCAAAAGGGATGAAGCAGTTGGTTTTTGCTAGTCGCAAGGTTGCATCCGACCCATCGTGACCCCATGGACAACCTCCACCACCTCCACCATCCCCCAGAGTCCACCTAAGCTCACACCGATTGCTTCAGTGATTCCATCTAGCCAGCTCATCCTCTGCCGTCCCCTTCTCCTTTTGTCATCAGTTGTTCCCAGGATTAGGGTCTTCCCCAGGGAGTCCTTCCTTCTCATTAGGTGGCCAAAGTATTTGAGTTTTATCTTCAGTAACTGGCCTTCTAAAAAGCAGTCAGGGTTGATCTCCTCTAAGACTGACTGGTTTGATCTCCTTGCAGTCCAATATGGCCAGGAATCATGGGAGTTATGATTTAAACAACATCTGGGGGGCTACACACGCAAGATTCCTTACAACACTTAGAAAGTCACAACCACTTGTGCCATACGTCATTGACCATTCCTGAAGGAGAAGGAACTATATATGGAAATATCAACTGCTCTCTGCTATAAACACCTTGTCTATACTGAAGCATCATCAAGCAGTGCAAAAGGCTTGGACATTTCTTACAAAGACTTATTAGATATGCCTAAGACTTTCTTCTTCTACTCTTAGCAGATCACTTCTGAAGCACTCCTGCCAAGCAGCTTTGCAAAGGGTTCCATGTAATGTTCACAGTTGCCAAAGAGCTTCAGCTGTTGAATGGCACAGAAATGTTAGTAAATATATAAATAAATCATGCAAATACCACAACTTCAGCGGGGCTAACATTAAAGCAGCTGGAGAAAATAAAACATGGAAATGACCAAATCTGAAAGTTTTGTGATTGCCAAATTATGGTTAGCTTATGAAAACTATAGGAGTACTATAGAAAGCATACTTAGAAACCAGCTGACTTGGTGGGGAAAGATCAACATGCACATTCTTTTTTTGTCTTGGAGTCATTGTTCAGTTTCTCAGAATGAGTAGAAAAAGCCTTTCCCAAAGACTGCTGTCCCAATGTTCCCATGGGAATGGGAAAAATAACTCCCCCCACCCCCAGGTCTCCAGCAGTGTTTGCTCCACCTGTATCTACAACAGATACCAGCCCTATGAAACCAGCACCACCGCTTGCTAACAATGTTAACCAGCTCTGCAATGAAATGTAACCTGCAACATTACTACTTTCCATTTAAACTTCCATTTGGAGAGCAGCAGCATTTGGGGAGCTTGCCGTCCATCCTGCTAATAAAGACAAGTGTTGGGACCTTTAAAGCTGCCATTCATCTTAGGCCTTTATTAAATTCAATTTTCCTAAACCCATGATACATCATGAAATTAGGAGCTGACATTCCTGCGGAAACAAAAATATCTATCAAACATAAAGAGGAAAAAAGCGCTCCATTACCCAGAATTTATGGCTTAAAGCCGATCTGTTTCCACTTTTTTACAAGCATATGGTTTGTTTTAGATATCCAAAATGTTATTACAGATCTAGAATTTCATTAGGAGCTATTATGAAATGGTAAGCACTTATACACACAACTGAACAGGCTAGGTTTTAGAGCACATCGACAAAGCCCGGCAACTTAACCAGCTTTAAAATACTGTAATGCATTCATTCTGTCAATCAAGTACAAAGAATGGATGGAAGAGAGAGTAAAGGGGGGTAAAGAAGCCCACTCATAGCTGACCTGGCTTGAGTGAAAATAGTTCCAGAACTGGTGCTGCAACAGTCCTACAACGAGGTATGGGGTCACTTGACAGCATTTTTGCCAGTGCAAACTTGATCCTACACACAAAGGCTCTGAGTTGCTTTGAACATTCAACCCATCCTTGCCCCCATCCACCTTTGCCCTTCCATTAACCCATCTCTTTTTCTTACTATCTCCGCTTTCTATATGCCTCTTAGGGAAAGATTCCCTTACTATTTTACACAGAAGAATTATCAGCAGAATATTGTCTATGTTCTGGCAACATCACATCTATTCCAAAACTGTGACCTGTCAATAAAGGTGCCTGTATCTCTTGGGCTGCATGAACCCCACCCCACCCTTAACACACTGTCAACAGCTCAGCAAATCACTCTCTTTGGCAGTCACTTGCTGATGGAGTCCTATGCACGCCTCAAATATAGACCCAGGGGTCAAAGCCTTCACACTGCATTTTGTGGCAAAGGAGCAACCTAGTTGTGCAATGCCAAGTGTCCCAGCTATCTTGTGCATTTCCACTCTAGAAACTTGCCATAATGCAAAAAATAACTGAGAACAGTACTAAAGCTGGTCAAAGGGTACTCATAGAGTTCCCTTATGATTATAGACACAGCTGAAGTCATTTGTGCCACCAATGCAGACTGCCACAGCCTAACTGAAAAGGAAAGCAAGAATTTAAAT